CGGAAGATCTTGGTGACCATGGTAACAATGTGACATCATTATGTTGAAAGAAGTCTATTGTGACTCTTGCAACATGTGGTCGGGCATTATCTTGTTGGAAAGTTGGATCTGCCAGGGTGTCAAGATAGGGTAAAAGATGGGGTTCTAGAACTTCGTGGATATAACGCTGCGCGTTCATGTTACCTCTGATGAAGATTAAAGGTGACCTGGAACCATAAGCTATAGCACCCCAAACCATAACTCTAACGGTGTGATGAACATGTCTTTCAACAAAAAACTGTGGATTCCTCCTTTCACCACGTTGCCTTCTAACCCTGGCACGACCATCGTGCATGCCTAAACAAAATCGAGACTCGTCACTAAAGACAATACTGTTCCATTCCTGATCCCAGAGTGACCGTTGTCTGCACCATTCAAGGCGATTACGTCGGTGTTCTCGAATTAAAGGGAGGACCCAGTGTGGCCGGTATGAAAACAAGCCAAAACTTCTCATTCGTCGGTAAACACTTCGCATGCCAATAGGTCTTCCGTGTTCTGCAAACCATTAATTTGCAATGGACCTGGTAGTGGAGAAACGGTCCCTTAAGGCCAATAATCTTAGGCGGCGATCTTCACGGTCTGTTGTTCTACGGCGGCGTCCAGTGCCCCTTGCTCTTTGCGTACGGCCTTCTCGAAGCCATGCCTGACAACACCTAACCACAATGTCTATACTTCTTTGCACTCTAACTGCAATTGTCCGAAAAGAAAGTGCAGCTTCCCGAAGTCCCACTATACGGCCCCTATCAAACTCACTAAGTTGACGAAATCGTACAGGTCTCCGTACTCTAGGCATTGTAACCGATCGTAAAGGATGTCAAGAACCAAAATCCGCCAACGTTGATTCTTTACTGCGGCTGAACTATTCATTTTTAGAGCGTTAGTGAATTAAAAAAAAGCAGCAACTGATAAGGCTGAAAATTTTTTCACTTGTTATTTACAGTAAGATAAATACATTCACCAACTTTTATTAAAATAAAACCATTTAAGCTGGGTGTTCGGATTTATATGTCGCTTAGTATACATATTGGCCAGTCCAACAGGTCCCATAAACATAAAAACCACAGGATTAGTTTCTACATATATGATTTTATTTAACCTCTAGAATACATGTGGAACTTTTATTTTTGTGCAGATTTGATGAAATGCATCTTGCTCAATGACCAAACCAGGTTGTTGTTTTTAATGGGTAGCTATAAAAAATATAATCACCACTCGAGCTTTTAAGTACTAACCGAAGAACTTGCAAGATCTATCTATATCAGTAGTTTGCAATTTACTAAGAACTTTACAAATCAATTCATAAAAATGTCAAACTGGCAAAATCTTAAGTGAGCGTAGTTGTAACGGCAAACAGTTTTCCGTTCCAGTACCTTCAGATTCAATTTGCTCTACGCCATTGCCAAGTTATATTTATAGCCACAGCTTTGGAGCTGAAGCTAGTGGGACACCTGTTTACTATCCGCCCCCAGCTATCTTTGTGTAGCCGCGCAGAGCGGTTCGTTCATTCATTGAACGGATCATATCAGCGTAATGGTCTCGCTGGTATTCCTAATTTAGCAGACAACAGCAACCTTCAATGAGGGATGTGATTAGATTAATCAACTGTATCCCAGCATTTACAGATTCAAAGCAGCAGGTTGAAGGGAAACGAGGTTCTTCACTTTATGGGATAAGATAATTCTCGGGCATTTATATTGAGATTTATTTTGGTAGGAGAAACGGGGGCTTTGCTTTAACCTCCCTCCAGCCGCACAATATTCTCCAGAGTGGGATTCGGGTCATAAAAAAAGATATTCCATGAGATAATATTCAAATAGCGTTGCCACGAACTTTTTGTGATATCTTCAGTCGTATTTTATCAGAATGTGGCGTCTTTGTAAATCTACTCAAGCAGGAGGCTAAGCTACGTTTGCATTTTCACTCGGAGTCGATTCACCGTGGAACGTTTTAAATAGGTTGCGGTAGCTAAAATGATTCACTTTATTAGAAAAAATTAACTTGATGCAGTTTTTCATGTCACAAGAGGTATCCTCTACCAACGCTAGAGCCCACAGGTAGTGATGAGTACAGCTGTAAGATCTTTATTCTAGGAGCACAGTTGCTTGAACCTGACTGGAATATATGTTTTCATCTCGACAATGGGACAATATACAGGGTGTTCCATAATTATTGCGACAAAATGATAGGGGTTGTAGAGGGCATCAAAATGAACAATTTTGCCTTATAAACCCCTGTTCGGAAATATGCCGTTTGGGCTGCAGCAAAAAAAAACATCAGTTTCTTGAAACGGCTTACCTACAGTAATTGCTCAAAGTGTCCTCCACCTAGTTCAATACACAGCTGTGCACGATTGTTCAATGATCGGCGAACTCTGTGGCATACCCCCGGTATGTCCTGAATATGTGCGGACGCGGCCATCACTCTTCCCAGTAGCTCTTGTTGGTTGGGAACAGGAGTTTCGTATACTAAAGCTTTCAGATGGCCCCAGAACAAAGCAATCCAGTGGGGTCAGGTCGGGTGACCGCGCAGGCCAAGGCACAGGGCCACCTCGGCCTATCCACCTATTTGGAAATTTGTCGTCCAAATACTGCCGCACTTGTAAAGAAAAGTGGGCTGGAGCGCCATCGTGTTGAAACCACATGTTGGCTCTTATGTTCATTGGCACATTTTCTAATAGTTCCGGTAGCACATGCTGTAAGAATCGACCATAAGCATGCCCATCCAAACGTGGTGGAAGCAAATATGGCCCGATGATATGCTCGTCCACAATGCCCCACCAGATGTTAATTGAAAACTGATGTTGGTCTCTATGGATGGCTATGGCTTGAGGGTTTTCTTCATCCCAAATGTGACTGTTACGGCTATTAAAATAACCGTCCTTTGTAAAACAGGACTCGTCAGTGAACAAAACGTAACGACCAAAGTTTGGTTGCCTCAACTTCTGCTGCAGCCACCAACGACAAAAACGTCGACGCGGCAGATAATCTTCTGGACCCATGGCTTGGATTTTTAAAAGGTGGTTTGAGTGTAGTTGCTGCACGCACGCTTGTACGCGGATTGGCCTCCACATGGTGCATAATCGTTTCCTCAAATTCTGCTGTGCGCTTCGTGAAGGGCCGCCCTGCTCCCGCGAGGTGTCTGATGCTGCCACTGACACAAACACGTCAATGAATCCTTGCAAAAATGGCGTGATGCGGATGAGGACGTTCTGGAAAGCGTTGGGCGTAGATTCGCGAGGCTCGTCTCTCTTAAGGTAAAATTAGCGGTAGTGCTCAAACGGCATATTTACGAACAGGGGTTTATAAGGCAAAATTGCATATTTTTATGCCCTCTACAACCCCTATCATTTTGTCGCAATAATTATGGAACACCCTGTATACTTATAAAAACTCCGTGTTTTTCCTATGATATATCAATCAATATCAATCAATCAATCAATATCAGTAACCTTTATTTCCATACAGACAATATATAATTGTATTGGAATTGTCAATTTTTCGTTCGCTACGAACCTACAACTAATCTCAAATTGCTATGTTCAAAAATTCATCAACACGATAAAAGCACTTGTTTATCAAAAATTCCTTCAACAGGAACTTAAAGGCGTTAATATTTTTAACCGAGGTAATGTGGCATGGTAAATTATTAAAAAAAAGCGGACCAATTTTATTAGGTGATCGAAATGCCGCTTTTGATTTGCTAAAGTTTACATATAAATTATTACAAGTCCTTGTATCATAATTATGCATATCACAATTTCGCTTGAATTTTTCATTATTTTTGAAAACATGTAAGCACAATTCATATATACAACGAAGGGACAGTTAAAATGTTGAAAGTTATAAAATATTTTTTGCAACTTTCTGTTGGTGAGATGCCTGCTAATGATCGGATGCATCTTTTTTGAGACACAAATACATCTTCAGAGCGCGTTGACCAACCCCAGAAACATACTCCATATCTTAATCTCGAATCCACATTAGCAAAATAAACTTGTATCAATTGTTCAGCTGTTAAGATGGTTTTTAATTGCCTCAACACATAGCTTTGAGAGTACATTTTTGATGTGAGAAATTCGCAGTGGGCCTTCCAATTTAAGTTCGAATCAAAATGAACTCCAAGAAATTTCACTTCTCCTCTAAAATCGAGTTGATCGTCACCCAATCTAACTTGAAACCCTTCTACAGTTTTTTGAGCGTGATGAAAACGAATAAGCGTTGTTTTGGAAGGATTCAAGTAAAGTGAGTACTGGTTAAACCATGTATTGATATTCCTAATTAAGTTGTTACATTTATCTTCCAAAATTATATTTGAATTACTTGATATTATCGCAGAAACGTCATCAGCATATGCTGTAAAATGGGTATCTGGATGAACATTATCAAACCGATTAATGTATAAGAGGAAAAAGATTGGTCCAAGAATAGAGCCCTGAGGGACTCCAATCGAAATGTCTAACGTACTTGACACAAAGTTTTTCATATTGTTCCCTGCATCAAGATATTCTAGTGAAACATATTGTTTTCTTTGGACTAAAAACGATCTGGCCCATTTAAGAGACTGACCGACAAAACCATATTTAACAACAATCTCCAAGAATTTGTTGTGATCAACGCAGTCGAATGCCCTACTGAGATCACAAAATACCCCAGTAGGGCACTCGCCCGCGTCGATGTATTCTATAAGCTTCTCATAAAAGGAATGTATGGCTGACATTGTGGTCTTACCATCTGTGAAGCCATGCTGGTTTTGAGACAAAATATTGTTGTTCTTAAGATGTAGAAGAAGTCTATCCAAATAGGCATATTCAAACACTTTAGAAAGTACAGACGGCACAGTGATTGCCCTGTAGTTTGTAATATCAAGCTCGTTCCCCTTTTTTCACTGGGAAAAATTCACTGGGACGGATGATGATTGTGGTGGGAGACTGTGCGTTGGTACGGATACTGTAATCGCTCTGCCTACTGCAAGACTTCGCCCCTTGTCTCTGCTGGAGGAGACAAACCGTCGGTAGAACCATTCTGGCATGACTGAGTGTATGACGTATTGTTATGATTCTGTATAACCTCACTATTATGCTGGGTTTGTAGAAGTGATATTATACGGTTCAAACTTTTGTTTGATTGTTGCAGTTCCCCAATAAGTCTGTTCTGCATTTTAACTTCACATCTAGCTACCCTTAGGTCACCATACTTATTTAAACAAGAAATATTGCGGCATACCTCTTGTTCCGTCGATATGGAGTCGTGGAAAATTTCGTCATCTTGTTGCTCTTTCTCCAAAAATTTCACTACTTCATCACTCATTGTTGAAATCACATTTTCAGGTAACTTTTTATTAATTATATAATATATTAGATCTTTCTTTACGAGTTTTTGTAACTCGTTGACTAATTGTTGCTGCATCATGGATATGTTGTACACTCGACACTCTCGACACTCAGTCTATTACTCGTACTATTAATTATGCGAATGCTCAAAGGAGACACTTAAAAATATGTTCTAGAACTTGTAGCTAAATTTCGGGAAACTGGGTCAGTCGCCAATAAAAAACGCAACATTGAAAATCCCATAAGGAACGAAGCAATAGAAGAGGGGGTTATAGTTTATGTAGATTCTATGTTAAGTACCCGCAAATTGGAGACTATGTGTGGTGTTAGTCGACGTACTGTCCAACGGATTATAAAGGCCCTTAGTTTTCATCCGTATAAAATTCACCTGGTACAAGAACTTAATGAAGACGATTTTGATCGGCGATTACAATTTTGTGAAGACATGAGTGAACGAATTATAAACGATGAACATTTTCTATTCAACACTTGCTTTTCCGACGATTCTAATCCCAGAATTTATTATGAGGTTAATACACAGCAGCCACTAAAATTAAATGTTTGGGCTGGTATTTTTGGCGATCATTTAGTTGGTCCTTTCTTAACTGGAAATTTGATCGGTGAAATGTATTTGGAATTACTGAATTGAAGTTCAGAATGATCGGCGGTACATTGCGAATCGGTTGATGTTCCAACAGGATGGTACCCCACCACATTACGCATTACGTGTTCGTCAATATTTAGATCAGTCGTTTCCAGATCGATGGATTGGTAGAAGAGGTGCCATTGAATGGCCCCCAAGATCGACAGATTTATCACCTTTGGATTTCTTTATGTGTGGTCATTCAAAAAGCAAAATCTATGCTACTCAGCCAACATCATTAGAAGACCTGCGACAAAGAATTTTGAATGAATGCCTTCAAATTACCCTTAAATATTGCAAAATGTGCGGCAACGTTTTGAGCAAAATCTTTATTATTGCATGGAGAGTCATGGTGGCCATTTTCAACATTTACTTGCCTAACGGGTCAGTTCATTCTTTATTTTTAAATTACTTTGCTGCCAAATGTATTGATCACCACTAATGATGATGTATTAGTTTTATTTAAGCTTAAAATCAATAAATCTTCAAAACTACTGAACTGAAGTACATTAACTTTATATCATTATAAAGCGAATTGAAAGACCTTTAAAATAAGGCTGCACGTGCTAACGTGATTCTTTGCCAAACTTGTGTCCCCCTCGAAAACAAAATCGACGGGTCTGAGCGTTTTTCCAAAAAAAAAACTGAGCTGGCAGTAAAGTAAAGTAAAGTTTCGTTTTCGATGCGCCACCCTGTATATTGCTGAACAGGTGGAATTCTCGATGTGCTTATATTATTTTTATTGCTTAGAACTACCCAAGCAGGATGATTCCAAGTGGAACAGCATAATTGATCTTGCACTGATAAGACTTCCGATCAAGATTGATTTTTGGATGCATATGCTTGAATAAAACTTGCTGTGTCGGAACTCCAAGATTGCATCACCCAATATTAATAACCTCTACCCTCTCCTAAGTCTATACGAGTGACGACTGCCTATGAGTTTCCTGGCCTGAAAAAAACCCTGCGGAATGCTTGCACTTAATGAACCGCCATAAAAAGTAAAGGAGGTGATTGTTAGAAGTGGGAAGTTGATTTCGCAGTTGCTGTCATGCAAAAAATTCCAATCGCGTTCCTCCGCTAGATAATTAATGGAATTTTCGGGAGCGCGCCGTGCGACTCTCTGATCGGCTCCGGCAGCTTCCTGGCCGAACTACCAACTTCCAACTCCACGCCACGCCAAACGGAGAGCATTATTGATGTGCCACCTGTTGCCAGCCGGAGTTGCGAGTTACCGGAGAGTTTAGAGAGACTCTTGAAAACCGACCTGCCGACGATCGATATTCGGCGCGATATATACAGGTACGTATACCGGGCGATCACTGCAATAAAATGTGTAGATGAGAATGGCCAAACGAGAGAGTGATATAATTTCAATCATAAGACTGAATCTTTAATCATGTACCTTATCTGAATGTTGATATTGTGTAAGTTATACAGATCAACATCAGTGAGATTAAATATAATAAACAGTCTAAATCCTAAATAGTGTCACATCTGCTTTCAAAGTTTGCTTGCATAGCTTGCTAAATTCTGAACTTTTCGCAAATTAGAATGAACTGTTTCACATCAAGAGTGTGATTTATCAAAGGATCTTTACACGGACTCATTAATAGCTATAAACAACATACTAACATATTGTTTTATCAATTCGCAGATCTATCAAATAAATAGTGTACTGAATTTGGTATCAAAATGTATCAAAATCTTATGACTTTTATTCCAACTAATACTTTCCGAGCGACAATGCTTTTCGACAAGCAATTAGTATTGAGAAGCGCAACGTACACATTTTTTGTACATTTTACAATACCAGTCTTTTCAACTTCCAAGTGTTATTTTCCTGCAGATTTTTAATATGAAAGTAACAAAAACAGTCGCTCTTCAGATCTACTTGCCTAGAACTAAAGGCATAAATGTTATGAAGGAATATTTCTTAGCTGCTACCGCAATTATTGAGAGCAATACAGAGGAAGGACTATACTGAACTATTCGAGCCATCAAAATTGAAGAATAATGTCTCAGTAAGTAACTTCGTCCACCATATCTTCCCGCTTGGACAAATTTGGGAACACCTCGTAAGGCTTCGGGAGCTGACAAACTACGATAGCCGCATAGTTTTGTAACTACTCCTCAGGATGCGAAAAAAATAGGACCTGAACACATTTTTTAGTCAAATATATCTTCTCGTACACAATGCAAGGTACTTTCTAACAAAAGGAGCTCTGACATTCTGAACTTGTTGTACAGGTTGTACCCTACCAGTTTGAAAATGTGTGTTCAAGCTGATCAAACATGAAGATGAGTGATTTGAGTGTCAATATAAGCCGAATGAGACTTGTCGTTTTCCAAAATACATTTATTGTGCCTTATATCTCCATAAGGGGTAGTATTTGTTGTCAGTAATAACTTCAAACAGTACTTAATAATGATAGCTCAAAAAAGCATAGCCTGGTATGATATTTCGTAGTCAGAACATGATCCTCACAATCACAGTGGCAAAATAGTCGCCCGATTATATGTAATTGGTATGGTGGCAGCTTGCCACCACAATTCACTCGTGATCTTTCTACGAATTGCTTTATCCAGATATTCTGTATTAGCCTCACGTTCGTTTCTATAGTTACTGAAGAATTCCAGTTGTCTAGGTGAGAAAACGTTTATCTCTGACGTGTTATACAACAAATAAATCGTGTATCATCGCGTACTTGTAGGAAAGTAAATTCTGAGCAGGTTAAGACTAGTAGGTGATGAATACGAAGCTTCTACTATTAATATTATTACTACTACTACCACCACCACTACTACCACCACTGCTACTACTACTACTACTACATTCTTAGTAGGGAGTGTAACATTCTACAATGCTTAAGCCTAAATGTAATATACAGCTATATTTGCTGCCAATAGATCCTATTTTGGTAGTATGCATTCATAGAAGGTTTCGCGAAACTTCTAGTATGTTTGATCCAAAAGAGTTGCCGCAATATCTCTAGTCCCTATTTAAGAATAAAGAATTTATACTCGTATATTTCATATATAAGAAGACAAAACAGCTATTTCAATGACTATTTAATACTCATACACTGCACGATTTGTTATTTTTAGTTGGACATCTACTGCATAACGTTCGAGCTGAAACAATCAATGAGTATGTGTGTGATAGACTTAATTATTTTTTACTGGAGAAAGGCGCCAACCCATTCTGACATGAAGTAATAGTTGAACGCTGAATAGCGATTTGTCTGCGTACAATACGTACTATGAATTTTTCTCACTGTTATGCAATTTTTGAACATATTCGAGAAAACAATAATATATTTGGAAAAGCGATAATCGAAGCGTCCAAACGGCTGAATTCTTGCTTGAACGAGTATATTTTCTAATTATTACAATATATTTTTCTTTAAAGTGGCCTCATGTTTTTTCGCCCTTTTCGCCACTCCCTTACGGTTATGGTTACTAAGGGCTTGTATTTTAGTCTAATCAGATTAGACGAAAATACCCCTGATTTGCGAAATAATTGTAAAGTCTGGCTTTATTGCTGCAAGTTGCTCAAGGGGGTATTTAAAACATGGACGCATAACACACAAAATTAGAGTAGATTGGTCAAGCAGTTTTTGAGAATTTCTAATTGTTTATCCCAAAACATCTGTTTTCCGGCGATCACTACTACTTTATTGAGCAATATACAGGGTTAGTTCAAAGCGCATTTCATAGCTAAATACACTAGTTTACCTTGCCGATATGAATCGCAAACCATTCCGGAAGATAAATGTTATTTTTATGCAAAAAAGGATGGGTTACGTTTTTTCTTTTCCATAACCTTTGTTTTTCGCATAAAAATAAAATTTATTTTTCGGAATGGTTTGTGATTCATATCGGCAAGGTAAAAGAAATTCTTAAAAAACTATTTGACCAATATACTCGAATTTTGTTGCTGTTATTCAGAAAAATGAATCCGGATTTGATGAATTACAAGTAGTTGCTTGAAATTATCGTCACATTACCTACCAACAAGTGGCAAAACCAGCAATTTGCCTCATTTTTCGGCCATAACATTTTTGCTATTATTCGGATCTTTTTACGAGTGGTCTTATTTTGTAAGTCTCATAAATACTTAAAAATCTTACATGGAAAGTTGTTTCGTTTCTGTCAACAGTCTCAATTTAATACCAAAAAACCCATTTTCTTATCATTTGTTGTCAAATAAAAAGCTTTCCCTCAAAAATGTGTGTACCCATTTCATGCGTCCATGTTTTAAATACCTCCTCGAACAACTTCCACCAATAAAACCAGACTTTGCAATTATTTCGGGAAAATTTGCTAATATG